AATTAGCTTTCCGGATGGCTAATGCGGTCATATGACTCCTCATCATTAATTATTATATACATGCGTATCGATACGGCACATTAGATCAACACTACAAAAATGAAAAGTTTAACGTTTATACTTGTTATAATTCTTAATATTACGTTGTTTTCTACTTTGCTATTCTCTCAAGTAGACCCTAGTAATTTTACAACTGCTGTTAATAATGTTACATCTGTCGCAGGTTTTATTGTAGAAGGTTATACAGTAGTCTCACCGGTTAATATTACTCCAACATGTCAGTCAAGACTTGAGCAAATTTATAATGCGACAGATATCAACGCTTGTCTTCCTTTTATCTCTCTTTCCTCTTTATTATCTCAAAGCAGTACTCCTTCCGATTCTATGTCTTTATATGATGCGATTTGTTCTTTACAAAGATGCACTGATACTTTTATATCTTCAACTCTTTCAAGTTTCAAAATAGACTGTACATCTGAACTTGCTACAAATAATCCTGCCGTTTATGGTGTTGAACTTTTATTTACTTTTTATTCACCATTAATAAGTTCTTATTGCTTTAAAAATGCTACTGGAGGATCATGTATTCTTAAATATCGGGAAGATTATGCGCTATATGCTGGTGCCGGTGTATCTCGTACTATTTCTAATCCATTAAATTTTACTGTTCTACCTGATATTACAAATGTTCCTTATTTAATTGTGTGCACTAATTGTGTAAAAGCTATGGCGAATACTTTTTTAAATTATCTGTCTTCAAACCCCGGTGATTATGCGATTATAGGCACAACTCAAGATGATATTAATAATCGTAAAACTCAATATACTGCAAAATGTGGTTCTTCATTTTTAGGTAAGTTAATGATCTAATTATTATACTTTTTTTTATTGATTTTTTAAAATAGTTCATCTTCACTTTTTTTTTTTATTTCTAGATGGTTCAATTCCCGACACTACAAATCCAATATTGTCAACATCGAAACCAAGCCCTAGCTCTAATGTGTTTGATAATCCACTTTATAAAGGATTAATTATTGGTGGCATTGCTCTTGTTTTTTGTATTAATAGTCTTATTTACTATCGGATGTTTTATTTATAAAAAGGTTATAAAAGCTAATAAGAGTTCGAAAATCGATTATATTCCTACACCAGGAACAGGTACTGAAACTAGAGAAGCAGCTACAGAAATTTAAATCCAAAAACTATCCTAACACCTATTTATAAATATTATATTGGAACATAAATATAAGTCAGTTTATTTTTAGTTTAAGTGTTTTATAAATAATTAATTTCGAATTTTTCTATTTCCGTACAAAAGTTCGAATTTCATAATTTGTAAAAGTTTACTATCTATAATTATGTTGAAGAATTATGTATTTTTTAAAAAAATTTATTAACA